ATTCTCTATCAGCTAATGTTTTTTAGTTCGGATACCAGCGCTTCATATATAAATAATTCTTCTTCTTATTATTATTATAATCATTATTATTGTTGTTTATATTATCAATATCATTATCATCATCATTATCATTATTGTTTGTTATCAATATTATTATCATCATTATTGTAAATACCAAACTTGTTTAAATGTTCATTCAAAATCAATTTGAAGTCAAAGCGATCATGATAATATTCTGACAATTTAAACAGAATTGATGTTTAAATTCTGTATCATTCATGAATATTTTTCTTGGTCTCAGATTTTGTTAATATACATTTCTAATGTAAAGAGAAATACCACTTACCGGTATATGAGTGCACAAATGCAAAAACGTACATTCAAATATAATGGTCAATTTTGTACAGAAAAGCCATTGAATGGATAGTTAAGTTTTGTTGCAGAGGGCGCTACACAATTTTTGTTTGTTAGTGAGATAATGCAAATGTGAATGTCAAATTTGAAAGAACATACAATTTTAATGACAAATCATCTTTGTTTGAACAAAACGGTTCTGAGACGGCTGAAATATCCATAAATATAATGATTTTATAAAATTTGTGGTGCCCATTAATTAATTAACGGTCACCATATTTTTTTGACAGTGGAGCTGAGTTGGTATGATCGTGTTGGCTAAATTTCACACATTTTTGGGTCTACAATTACCTTCATAGCATTTTTAGGTCCTAAAAGGGCACTAGAAATGTCATGAATGAGAAAAAGAGCAATAACCATAAACTTTGAAGGCATTTGCGGTATGAAAACAGAACTCAACTATCCCTTTAAGTCAATACCTTGTCTTTTCCACCCGAGGCATTTATTTACAGAAACAAAGCACACAGTTTGAACAAATTCGTTTGGATAGTGTTTTTACTTTTAAATTCAATTTCATGTACATAGCAATAACTATGATCATAAATAATATTTTATAATTCTGATAATGTACAGATGGGAAAGGTTTAAAACAGTGAAGATAGTGGAATATATATATATATGCAACAAGATCAAAAAATATTAATATATCTACTTCAACACCCTATTACACTGCCACAGAAATCGTATTTAAATTATGTACTACTGGGGGGCGTTTCACAAAACTTGTCATCAGTGACAAACAACAGTTTTTGTTATAAGCTACTGAAATCCTTGCTTCTGATTGGTTATCAGCAGATTTGTCACTGATTTGTGTAATTTGTCATTGAAAGAAGGTTTTGTGAAATGGGTCCTTATGTCAAGAGTCTCAAGACATTTCACAAGGCATTTAAAATCACTTTAGGTTTTTTTTCTTTTTCTTTTTGAAAGTTTTTACAATCATGTTATAAGGCCTTTTAATGCTTTCAAAACAGAAATATGGCACCAAATAAAAGCTGTGAATCATCATCATATGGTTTTAAAATATTAATGTGTTTACTGATGGTTAACTTTTCAGACTTACAGAAAACAAAACCAAATATTTTGTAGCATGGTAATAACAGTTTCTTCTAACGGTACTTAAGTGTCTGAGATTGCAACGAAGGAGAACTATGGCTTCATTTTTATATGATGGGGTACACTTATATGAACACATTTGGGTAACTGCCTGCATGACAGAAGAAAGGTGAGCGAAAACAATAAACAGATCAGAGATGATTGCAAAGTTACTAATGAATTAACATTTGAGCCTTTTTTTATAATGAGTATGGACAATAATATCATAACTAAAGCCTCTCAAAAATATTGGAAGCCCAACAAATTTGATTGCAAAAATTCACTTGAATTGTGTAATGATGTGAAAGAGGATGTCATTTAAAACTCATCTCTGCAAGGATTTTTTGAATATATATCTTTAAAGATGAATATTGATGATGGAATACAAAATTTAGATTTTTGTGTACAACTCAAGACCCAATTTTTCAATTCTTTCATCAATATTCGTCTTCAAACACATTTATTCTGAAAATGTTTACAGAGTTGAGTGTTAAATGACATCCTCTTTCACATCAATACAAAATTTAAGTGAAATTTTGCCATCACATTTTTTTAGTGAACTTGGGGCTTCCAACAGTGAGTTTAGAGGGGGTTTAAATACAACCATTTCCCCCCCTTCAATTTTGAAGAAAGCATGAAATATGAAGCCTATAAATCAGCCTCTTATATATTGGACAGTGTCTGGCATTTCAAAATCACAGGGGAAGGCCTAAAGTTACTTAAGAATGTATTTTAAAGAAAATTTGTCACCCAGTCTTTCTTCATATTGGTTGTTCTAAAACACGTCAGTTAAACATTTTGTAATGGATTAAGTGAATGCTAAGTAGGAGCTTAACAAAAATGATATTATGTGTTTGTCATGGTAATATTCTAAAATATTTTGTGGAGGCAACTATGCTAAAATTCATACAAACACAACTAAATTGTACAACACGAAGATAAGATGTATACAACATAATCATACACACACAGTGGTATATAGCATAGGTCCAGCAACTGTGTGTGTGTGTGGGGGGGGGGACTGTTGGTGGTGGGGGGACTGTTGGTGGTGGGGGAGGGGTGGAGGAGGGGGTGGAGGAGGGGGTGGAAGGAGGGATCTACCAGGGGGACAAGGCCATCGAGTGGGGCAAGGGCGTGAAAGGGTGTGCATTTATTTTCACACTGTCTCTCCAACATTTTATTTCTCTCCACCCTCTTTCCAATTTGTTCTTCCGTTGTGAAGGGAGGGGAGGGGGGGGGGGGGGGGACATCCTCCTGCCCCCACCCCCTGTATCTACACCACTGCATGAAAGGTGTGTCATGGTCTTGTGGCATATTCTTGTCTGTGCAAGGCATTACTGATGGTGAGTGCAGAAGATAGAAGCTGTATAGTTAACCCGTTCAACTCTGCATCTAATGATGGCCTGTGAGAAAATGAACACGAAGACAAATATGAGAGAAAGACAATGACAGGGAGAGAGATAGGGAGAAAGGGAGAGAGAGGAAGAGAGAGAGAGAGAGAGAGAGAGAGAGAGAGAGAGAGAGAGTGAGAGAGAGAGAGAGAGAGAGAGAGAGAGAAAGATAGAGATGGAAATAGGTAGACAAGAGAATTAAGAAAGAAAGAAAAGAGGAAAGTAGGAAAATGAGGCAATAGCACCACACAAGATCAATTCTGCACCAAAAACATATCAAGTATATTTTACATTAAACTACCAAATCATCTACTTATTTATCAATTCAATGATACACATTACAATTGTGAATAACATTTATTATTTCATCTATTCATTTTTTTTTCTTTGGGGGGGGGGGGGTCCATTCCAAATGAAATAATGGAGAATATATACATGTATCAGGAAAAAAGTGGGGATATATTGTAGAGCAATAGTGAGGATGACAAAGAATATGACAGAAATTGAGAGATACATAGAAACTTACATATACATATATATATACAATGCGTCCAAGAAAAAACGAAACCGAGAATTATCAATGTTTTATCATAACTTAATCACATTTATAATTAAGAAATGACACATACTTGTAAAGCTTAGATCCTCCTCTTTCATTTGATGCAACTCATAAAATGCATATTTCATGCATCAATAATTCTTGGTTTTGTTTTTTTTCTGGGACGCACTGTATATATATATAGAGAGAGAGAGAGAGAGAGAGAGAGAGATAGAGAGAGAGAAAGAGAATTTATAAAACAAAAGGATCTTTTACCCATTACTAGATTCTAGGCTTGGTATAAAGTGCACTGACCCCTCATCATGTATACTGGCTGTAGACGTTGACATGGCTTCACTATTGCAAACAAAAAACAAAAAATATTCAGTAAAAATATGTTCACGAAAAACATTCTGTCCCATCACATACTTCTACTATGATCACAACATAACATCAAGAAATATAGCAAGTATTCATTTCCATGTGAGTCACAATATTTTGGAATAATCGATAAGATAAATAAACATATTTTTTACTTCTGAAATTATCACTGATTTTTATCACAAAATGCGTATGACTTATTTAAAAATGAACATATGACAGTAAGTTTTAAAATTGGAAAGACAACTTTTCAAATGATTTTATCATAAAATGTGCGCAGATAATGCAAATGTAGATAATATTGTCAGTACCAAATTATTGGTAAACTTACATTTTTTGTTGATCTGATGAGTTCTGGAAAAGGTCTGTATAAATAAGAGAAATAATCAAACATCACAGGTTTAGGCTAATTTAGTGTAACCTGCCACTATTATGATTGTAAGTGTGTATGTTTTGTCATAAAAAATGCAGATTATTAAATATGAAATATTTTGCAAATAAAAGTGAAGTCAGAGGATTATATGTAGATTTTTTTTTTTTTTTTTTAAACCACAGAAAGAAAGAAAGGAGGTAAAACAAAATATATCTTTTAGTTTGGCCAGAAAATTGCTAGGATATTTTTGTGCCCTTCCTCCAACACGTGAGCAAATAGAAATGAAAGAGTCATTTTGATTTTCAGTGGAGGGTGACAGACAAGTCTAGCAATTGAAAATCAGTTTGATTGTTAAATAACAGATCTTTGATAGACAGTGATGAATGTTCCATAATGGCAAATTAAAGAAAAAAAGAAAAGATAAAATGTTATATGAATCTCTAATTTTATCTTGCATGTCACTTGCTGATCAACCTGAATTTGGATAATAACAATTATTTTTTTAAAAAAGGAGGGGGGGGGGGGGGAAGAAAGAAAAGAAGAAGAAAAAAATAGAGAAAGTAGAAAAGGATGATTGGTCCCATATGACATTGGAATGGTTTATTGCCATTTGGTCTACACCCAGCCCATCTACTATCCACATGGTCTAATAATCATTTTGTCTATTTATCATTTGGTCTAATGACCAATTAATGTAATTGTCATTTGGTCTAATCTGCAATAAGTCTACTACCCATTTGGTCTATTGCTCATTTAGTTTAATTTCCAGTCGGTCTGATTCCCAGTTTGTCTAATAATAAACATGAAATTATTATTGGACTAACTGGTAGTACATGAACTGGTTGTAGACCAAATGGCAATTCATCATGTTGTGATGGTTTAATGGAGATGGCCTACCTGAAGACCACATCTCTTGTGAGCCGGGGTTATGAGGCACTGTTTGGCATGGACTATGACCAGAGGACTGCAGAGATAGAACAAGGGAAGGGGATTGGGAAGGGAAAAGAAAACAGAGGAAAAGGGAATGAAAAAGAGAGGGAGAGAGACAATTAGAAAGAGAGAAAGAGACATATAGAATGAGGAGAGACCAAGAGAGAGAGAGAGAGAGAGAGAGGGGGATTTTTTGTAAAGAGGAAGAAAAATAAATATTAAAGAGAAAAAACAAGAGTAGAATTAGAAAAAATCAGAAAGAGGAAAAAGAAGAAGGGAGTGGTTAGACGAGTAAGAAAGAAACGAAAAGAAAGGAATGAAGGAGGAAAAACACAGTATGAGTTTTATGATAATAAAAAAGAAGTAGTAGAAGCACGCAATTATGAAGAAGAGTAAGTATGGAAAAAGCAGAAGCAGGGGTGAAGATTGAGTAAGTTGAGAATCATATCATTCTATTTTTTCATTACACAACCATTTACAAGCAGAATCACTGAATGAATTAAGGCATGTTAACACAATATTTAGTAAACTATTTTTAAACTGAAAACATATATGGTTGCATAGGAAATAAAATTCATTGCAAATGTACTATAATGAGGCATTCCACATTCTAAATAGATTTCATATTTTGGTTGGCCTTTGGGTTAAAAAGTTGAAACGGGGGCACTTTTTTTTTTGGGGGGGGGTGCAAACTTAGGATGCTGCTTTGGGATTTTTGTTGGGGGGAAGGGGCACTGGCTGGTCAAGTCCCCCTCACCTCCACCACTATTCTAACCTGTTCATCAGAAACCATATGTGAAGGGATCATTTTGGAGATTGATTCCTCCAGCTCTTGATTCCATAGCTCCCTGCACCGATGGTGCTGTTGACTAATCATGGAGTGGAGACTAGAACGGAAGACTTCAATCTCATCATCAACCTGACTATGAAGAGTTGACCCTGCAGGTGATAATAAAAACAACATTTAAAGCCTCACTGCACTACTTATAGCTACTTGCGCCCTCTATATAGCAAGCAATGCCTAATCGGTCTCTGTCGGTCCCCCATGATCCCCTTTTTCTCATGTTAATTGAGAGCTGATTTGATGAGATAACCACCTGTCAGTGACTTTGCAGGGAGGTCTAATCCCCCTGGCCAAACTAGTGCAGACGGGCTTTACGTCCAGATGTAATTTATCAGAAACCATGTTTGAAGGGATCATCTTTGAGAAGGATTCCAATAACTCTTGGTTCCAGCATCAGCACTGGTGGTGCTTTTGACTAATCATGGAGTAATGGAATGGAACACTACTATCCCATCATCCGTCTGACCTTGTAGCATGAATTTTTAAAGATCATTATTTACATAATATGAACTAAATTGATTTGGTTAACTTTGCTTCAGATTCTAAAAAAAATCCTGGAATTAGCTCATGTTGCAATCATAATTATAAACCTTTTGGTCATACATGAATCCCATGACTTTTACAAGCCAATCGCCTGTCTGATTATCAAGATATAACACTACAGTCTATTGGGAAAAAAAAGTATGATAAAACCGGTAACTCAAAGATTTTTAACTTCTTTGAGGCACATCATGATAATTTTGAAGCGCAATTTTGTTAGGGCTTCAATATAACACCATATCACAGACACTGCTAACACGTAGGGCTACTCATCTCAGATTTAACATTGTTAAACTATGGCTTTGATACACAGAGGTCATTACAGAATAGAAGCCATTCATTGCAACCTTTAAAACAAGAATAGTTTAATAATAATTTTCATCCTTTGCTTAAAAGGTTTCATATATTCTTGTTCTGTCACGACAAATTAAACCACAGGATCAGAACTTTGCATATGAGGGACGGTCCAAACTATTTTGTCCCATATTTACTCTGCACATCTCAGATGTTATTTTCGTTATTCAAATTTACATTCATATCTATGTTTGCCAAGGTGTTTTTTTTATTAAAGCAGGTTTAAACACCTGTATGTATTCCGCTAATTCATTTAAAACTAACCCTTTGTCTAAAATTATGTTAAACAAATAAAAGAGTAAGATTTTGATCAAAAGCTTTATCCAAGCCTCAGATTTAGATTTGAGTAGAAGGTGGGCATATATGATGTCCAAATGCATTTTAATGATGAAACACTTCAACAATTTTCATAACTGGGGGGGGGGGGGGGGGGGGGGGGGAAGGGGGGGGGGGTCTTTCATGAAAACTATGTTGACTTTAAGTTGGACTTAACTATGGTTGGCTGTTCATGCCACTTGTTACTCTCACCATTGGTCTCTCAATTATGATCTTTAGATATTTTTCCTTCAATAATGAAGTTATCAAAAAAGGTAAATTCTGTAGATCGGTGACCTTGAACGTCCCTTGAGAAACCAATGCCAGGGATGGTTTGAGGAACTAGTGGCATGAATGGCCTGCCATAGTTAAGTCCAACTTAAAGTCGATCTTAGTCTTTGTGAACCACTCCCCTGAAGACATATTTTACTCCAGGCTTCTAGCTTATGAATCACTTCATTGTTAATCTGCTGAAGATGTGGAAGAAGCCATACCAAGTTTCAAACCATTTATCTTTGAGAAAAAAATGCTAAATATGGTTACAATTTTTATTAATAAGACTATATGATCATTGATATTAGAAGGTCAAGCATCGACTAATCTTAGAGAAGGAGAGACAGGAGGGAGAGAGAGAGGGAGAGAGGGAGAGAGGGAGAGGGAGAGGGAGAGAGAGAGAGAGAGAGGGGGGGGGGGGGACAGACGAGGGATTACAAGACAATAAGGAGAAGAGACAGAAAAATAAAACTAGGAATAGGATGAGAGAAAGAGAGAGAGAGATGAAGAATTATGTAAGACAGGGAAAAGCAATGGATAAGAAAGCCTAACAGAGATTTTTATTTTTTTAAATCTCAGAAGTTGTTTTGAGAAAGGATTATGGGCCATTTATGCCTAGTATAGGCACGCAAGAGTAGCCATAAAGAAAGACCAACAGATATGTAGATTCGATATGAAATTGACCGTGGAACGACTGTTGCTTGAGCATGTGTTTCACCGTGGCCTACAGCTTTACAAGCTCGCTTTCATGTAGGTCCCATCATATTTCTCTCAGTTAAACCAGTACTCTATATTGACCACTTATCTTTATGTTATTTATTATGTATCATTGATTGTTATTTCATCACAAACAAAAGAACTTGTACTTTTATTTTGAAATGTTTATGTAACATGAGAAATATGAAAATAAATGAAACTAAAAATGAAATGAAATAGATCCTAGATAAAGACATACCAATTTCATCCAAGAAGTCTTGTGGCTCATGGAGATGGTCATCATTGATCTCCTCACTGTTTGGTAGCCACCTGTATGCTGAGATGTGGGCTCCTCCTCTTTGGCAGTTGTCCCACTCCTATGAAATGAAACATCATACAATAGACCAGCTCACGGTTAGCACATGTCCCAAATGACCCCGAATATCCACGGATCTTCAAAACATGGAGAGGTTCCACTTTGTACATTTTGAAATAATTACTCCTACAGCGATGGAGGTGCTACATAAATATCCTTAGTTTCCCCTTTTCGAAGAATACTTTCACCTGTGTATCATGGAGAGCACTTCTTGTAGATGAATGAATAATGATTACATAAATTTCATGAGCATGTATCAAGTATTTTGTCTCTGTATATTTCACAATTTGGTCTGCAATGACCTTCATCTGCTCATGCTCAGACCAAAACTATGAACTGGCACATTACACTTTCAAACCCTTTATCTACACGGACACTCTTTCTGAACCTTTACTGCACAACTGATTATATGAAGACGTCACAGATTAGATTTTATGCCACAGGTTGTGAAATATGTATCTTCTTCAAATATCTCACATGGATGCTATATTTAATATGAATTCAGTAACATGTTTATTGAAAGAATTTGAAATGCCTTCTTCTTTTTAGTCCAAACGCTTATGCACATGTACACTGCACATTGTAGGTAGACCAGGGGTTCTCAAACTTTTTTCCTTGACTGAAAGGTCTGAGGTAGACGATTTACAACAACATTATTAGCAGTTCAACTGCATAGATCTTGACACGAGAGGGCTCTCTACTCACAATATTCTCAGCATCGGGTAAAGATTACTTTACACACTCTTAGAGGCCTGAAGGTTTAAACCAATTTGCAAAAGCCTCATAGCTGAGTATTTCAAAATACAGTAATATTGAACAAATATTGTGATTGGTTTTCTAATTCTTTCTTTCTTCTTTTTTCTTTTATTGGTGTTGTTGTTGTTTTATGGTTCAATTATACAAAAAAAGTAGTTACAAAGTAATTGGCAATGGTTCTAAATTTGTTGGCAGATCAGAAGGAATTATAAAGAAAAAAAGAAGAGAAGAGAAGTTACCTAGCTGTTCCAGTACAATAACAACATACAATTTCTTTGGTTTTCACTTTCTTTCAAAGATTTACTTGATTACTAATAATCTAATCTTATGAAATCTGAAAAATATGGATGCAAGTATTTCACCTCTTCCTGGTCATCATCACTGTCGTCATCATTATCAATGAAATGATCATCTAGCGTCTCCAATTCTTTTGAGAGTTCTTCGAGCCTACTGTGATAAAACCTCGTCCCTGTTGGCTCACTTTCTGAATGCTGATCTAGACTTTGTGAAACACTTCCAACTGAAACCTAGAAGAATGTCAAATCAGAAAATTAAACAATATTGATTAACTTCATATCAAGTTAAGATGAGAATGATAATATAATGACATAGATCCTAGAATTTTTAACACCAATGAAAAGTCAAATATTATTTATTAAAGATAAAAAGGTTGGCTAAAAATGATGCTCAAATCTCTACTTTACCACCAATATAACTTGGTGGACATCTGCAGGAAAAAAAAAATGTTTTGCTACTATTATTTAGTAAGAGCTGAATTTGAAAGATACCTCTTGTTTTTATGTAGTTTTTACCATTAAAAATATTAGTTTTATACAGGAGTGTATATTTCAACACCATAGGAAAATCAAACAGAGAAAACTAAAACAAAAAGGAATACCGGTAATTAATGGGAATAGTTATTTACAGAGAGGTCAATTTTCTAGGTTTCACTAATATCTTTGAGTGAGAGCTGAATTTTAAAGATATTTGTCTGTTCTTAGGTAGTTTTTACCAAGAAAAATACTGGTCCTACATGTATTACTTCTATAGACTACTTCCATATCACTTGTTTTGTAGAGGAGTATATTTTAAAATCATAGGGAAATCAAATGGGTAAAACTAAATTAATTATGAATAGCGGTCCTTATGAATAATGACCCTTTTCTCAAATTATGAATAGCTGTCCTAATGAATAACTATCCTTATGAAAAGTGGTCCTTATCACTAGCGAGCGGATCCCCAAAATAAAAGGGAAAACAGATAGCACATCAGCAGAAAGCCTCTTGCATATATTATAAAATTGCACTTAAATGCAACTTTCGATGCAGGAGGGTCTTTGTACTGGTTCTCGGACAACTACCCCCGGACAACTACCCCCGGACAACTACCCCCTGGATAACTACCCTCTACGTCAACGATCCTCTAGGACAACAACTCCCTGGACCACTATTCTAGGGGGTAGTTGTCCGGGGGTAGTTGTCCTTGGGGGTAGTTGTTCTAGGTGGTAGTACTAGTTGTCTGGGGGTAGTTGTCTGGGAGGTAGTTGTCCTAGAGGGTAGTTCTCCTAGGGGGTAGTTGACTGGGGGTGATTATACAGGGGGGGGGGGGGTGGATGTCCAGGGTGTAGGTGTCCGGATTCACTTTGTACCCCATACCTTTCTGTACATGCTTGGCTGATATGATCCATAAGATGCGTTCTTACAAAGACTTCGACGTTTCAAACGACTACGTAGCTGCACAGAACTGGAATCAACATCGTTGCATTGCTTACTTAATTCTTGGCAGGTCAATGGAGGATGCTTCTTAGAAGTAGACATCTTCTATGTCAGGGAGCACTGCATAATTCAATTGAGAAAATTTCAAGCAAAGCTAAAAAAACACTTCAGTATAATATTAATAGATCTATATGTAGACTGGTCTACAAATCTATTCCACTTGCTTAAAGTTACAATAAACTTCAGGAGTAATAGCATTTCAGCCAATAAATACTTGTGTTCTGCACTTTGTGATGTGGAGGTCTAGTCTAGTCTTAATCAATCAACAGTGATACAAATAATTGTTCACCCAACCCAAGGTTTACTTTTGTCTTTACTTGGTATAAATAAGTTCAACTGTCCTGAACAAATAATATTGACCGTCGTTATAACTACTGTAGTATAAAAAAAAAAAAAATCAAAAAATCAGACCGACTAAATAAAACAGATCTATCTAGATCTGAGATTCAAAGACTGAGGTCAACTAGACTAGGTCCAAGTTGGATAGACTAGACTAGACCTAGGGTCTATGTCATTTTCTGGGCAATGGTAGGTTAGAAATGTCAATCTACGTCTGGACAGGTTGGTTATCATGGTTAGGTCTATAACTTATATGGACAGGTGATTTAAGTGAAGAAGTTTACAATAGTTAGACCTAACTTAGATCTAGACTAGACTCTACATGCAATATTTATAAATTATTTTAAGAATTCTGTTTGACAATAATGAATGACCAGATGACAAATATTAGAGTCTAGGTCTATGAATGATGGATAGACTTGGTTAACAAATTTTAAGTTAAATCCATGGCATTGTCATTGGCGATAGTGACAGTTTTGCCTTTGCCTTTGCTTAACATTAAGTTTAGTAGTAGACTCTAGATCTACTAGGTCTAGGCTTCTCGCAAACTTGTTGTTGAGCGTCCAGTCGATCCTCCGCGGCCGCCTCTCCTATACACCGATTCGGTTTGGGGGTTTTATGTACCTGCCCGCCGGTGGCGGCGCTATAACTGGGGGGCTTCTCCGATCCAGCTGACAGTACAGAGAGCTCGAGAGCGGTTACTAGCTAGCGGAGCAGCGACCCTGGCCGGCCTGGGCGAGGTTCGGTATAGGTATAGCATACCCGTTGCAATGTAAGCTAGCTAGCTGCAGTCAGACGCCCCCCAGTTATGGCGTCACCTTATGAGGGCGCACTTCCACCAGAAGTCGCCCGAATCGGTGTATACACACAACAGTCAACACCATCATCCATGCAGGCCAGGCATCAAACTAATCTAGATCTAACTGTAGATCAGGGGTAGGTCTAGTAAAGTTACTTTATTTCTAAGAATTAAGATAGAACAAACTTAAGAAAACTATATAGATTATAACAAAGACTAAAGTTAGTAGTAATATCTAACGAATAATGGTTGACCTAATTAGCTTGTCGCTGACCTCTGCGGTTGATTCAAACCCGATCTACGGTAGATGTAAACACACCGAACTGGTTATTTCCAAGACTGCTCCAAGAGCAGCGCTGCGCGCGGCGCGGGCAGGGCCGGGGCGCCGAAGCGCAAGCACATCACTCATCTTAGTTAGCCGTCTGGCAGTGAAACATGCCACAGGTACTGGAGAGCGAATCTGAATTTTAGCCAACAAGGCAACAATCTTACGTTAACTTAACTTCAATTTATCCCTACTTTATACACGTAAATTCCGATTTATATTAGTTAGCCTACCGTGTATAGATCACGTCAAGAGCATTCAGCAGCGTTAAAACACACATTTATAGTCTCGCACCGCTCTAGCTAGCTACCACTGGTAATAATACGCATGCGCGTGATTTTTTTTTTTTTTTTTTTTTGGGGGGGGGGGGGGGCCGGGGGGCGAAATTTTTATTCCCAAACAGGTTTTCAATTTCTTATATTTCCGTTCTTCTCAATGGCTGATATGTTCTACGTCGTTAGCAGCTTGGAAAAAGGTCATAAACAATTAGACTTTTTTTTTTTTTTTTATTGGTTTGCCTCACTATTTATAAAGGCAAAAATTAACTGAATAAACTGAGACTTGAACCCACAACTCTAAGATTGTATTACGCTGACCTTACCCGATTGAGCCAACGATGGGTTAATGACAAGTGATTCTGCATGATTTCTATAACCCTATCACTCACCCTAACGGTTACGTCATTGCTAATGACGTAACATATCATCCAATCAGATGACCGGAAATATTAGCATTAGCAAACCTGTTTGGGAAGAAAAAAAATTAGCGGGCCGGGGGGGGGGGGGGGGGGGGGGGGGGGGGCTTTCCTACGCAAAATTATTTCAGTTATTCTCCTGAGCTGCTCTATACAAGAAAATAAGCAGACGTGAAAAGACGGGAAGGAGAAATGGAGGCAACTTTAGAACAAGTTTTGCTAAAACCTCAGTAATATATTATATCAGATTTAATCATTGAATTGGTATAGCTTCATGTCTACATCTCAAGATGAAATGGCTGGTCGTTGGTCATGTCGTATGTTTGCTCCTAGTCGCATTATTCTTTTAACATCACTCGTTACTCTTTGATTTGATTTGAAATAAACTTGCTGAAGACGGATGGAGAAAAATATCAATAACGAACACCATGTTAAGAATCATACCGATTTTTATTATAATTATATAAAGTAAATGAACATAGATGGGGGAAGTACATTAGAATACAAGTTCAAGTTGGACAAAATCGAAATGGGGCATCACATTGGTCTATGAATCGTTTTGATAATACGAATTCATGAAGAGTTTTTTATATTAAAAATCATCGTCATCATCATCGTCATCGTTACACTGTAAAAACAAGTTGGTCAGATATTACTGGGTAAATCGAATTTGGGCAAATTTTGTCCGATAATTGGGTCATTTTCTCCCAACCATTTACTATAAGTTACCTAATGGCAGGTAAACAATAGGTTGGGTAGGTGTTACTTGGCAAATCGATATTGGGCAAATGTTGTCCAATAATTGGGTTATTTTCTACCAACCATGCAGTGACCGATGAAATAATTGGGTAATTTTATTGGGCAAACTAAACTTTGTTAAAGTTGGGCCATTTTTGTCCAACATTTGGGTTATTTTCTAAAATTTATTTACTACATGTATATCCAATTAAATGTTCAAAATTAGTTGGGCAAATGTAAGTTGGGCAACATTATGGAACATAATGGGGTCTAATTCTTATATTAGAGGTGTCGTGGTCGAGTGGATAGGACTGTGAATCACAAGGTTCGCGGTTCGACTCCCGCCGCGGCGCTAATGTCCTTTTTAAAAAAAATAAACATATATAATATTTTATCCAACTTATATGCCCAAGTAGTATACTGTCTATTATGCTACACATTATGGTGAGAATTTTTGTCGGTTAAAAGTTGGGTATTTTCTTTTTATCCAGAACTCGGTAAATCATGCAAAATCTTTAATTTACCCAACAGTTGGTTGGACACATAATCGCCCTCATGTTGGGTAAAAATTGGGCAATTTTTTGCCCAACATTTTTTTAGAGTGTATCATCATTATCATCGTTATCGTCATCTTCAACACCATCGCCTTTATATGTATAAAGAAATACATAAGCAAATAAATGTATACAAAATAAAGTTAGAAAAAAAGATAATAAGATAAACAACAAGAAGGAGAAAAACACTCAATAACAATAAGATGAACGAAGTAAGTCTGTGGGCGCTGTAGGGATACGAAGTCGACAAGACCGTGACAAACCAGCCTCGGGAAACCAGCCACTGAAAATGATTTTATTACTTGCGAGAAAAAAAATATATAATTAAGCTCGGCAACTACATTTACATGTTCTATATTAATTGGAGAATACTGCCCAAGTGCTTCTGTTAAATAATTAATCACACCCTCCAACAATTTGTAGGCCTATCATCATTGGGATATTCATGGACCTCGCTGTTTGTTTGTTTGTTTTGTTTTTATTTCTGCGTTTCTGGGTGGTCAGATTAGCGTCATGATTTTGATACCTCATTTGTGACACTGGCAGGTCGCTATTCTTTTTTTTCCTTCTATTTCTCTTTAACATTTTTAATTTTTTTTTTTTAAACAGGGGGGGGGGGGTCGAGCCCCGGAGCCCCACCGTTTTGTGGACTCTGACACCTAGCCTTCTAAATAAGCATATGACTGTAAATTGGGGAATTTGCCATTTTCCAACTTAATAAAGTATAATTTACAAAAAAGTGAGAAAAAATTCTGAAAAATTATGTCATTATTTTCAGCAACATTTGTAAACCACTGATATCGAATAGGAAATAAACCACGTTTGAATTTTATTTGAGGGGGCAACTGCCCCAAGCCACCCCCCCCCCCTCCATTACTACGCCAGTGTTTGAATAGGTCGTATGACGAGAATAGACTCTTCCGGGTCATTCATTTTTGAAAATTTAAATTTTTGTCATTGTGTGTGTTGGAACAAAAAAAAAAAGGAAATTTGTCTGCCATTACATCACAAAGAAGAGCCCATCATAATTATAGGGATCACAACTTTCAATATAATCATTTTTTTTTGGTCGGATTTCAGTCAAACCTTCACCAGTCTACTTCTCTTAATATTTGCTTTCCTCTAGAATAATTTGCTATCAAGTTTGAATTTCCTTTTGATATATATATATATTGCAATTGTTTTTATACAACCCCTTGTATAAAACAAATATATTTCGTCATTATTAAATAAGAAAATGAAAGTTTATGGAATTTCCTGTATTTGGAGAGGACCTCGCAAAATACTTGGCAGTTTACACTGTTGACAATTTGTGTTCCACTGATGACAAATTCCCTCAAATTACAACTTTCCTAATACCTATTCATAATCGGATATTGCTCAAACTTTAACAAATGTTTTCTCTACTTTTTCTGTTTTTATTCATACAGAATTATCAGGGTGGACTTTTTAAAATTTAGATTTTCTCTGTAGAACCGCTGGTTACGTTCTGCTATAGATGTAGGCTATATACGGGCATATAATTAATCGACTTTGCATACATAAATGTTGCTATGTCTGACAAGCCTCTGACAAGCTTTTGAATAGTCAAGGGAGACCTAGCTTCCGGAAGTATGCATACAATTAGTAAACACATGTATTAAACTAAGATTATATAATTGGAAGAAAGAACTAATTCAGGAAGTTTTTAGATTAATTAGAAGGATGCCATCTTGTGGTATCTTGCTACCAATTCCTAGTTAGAAAAGTCCCTTGGTCAAAGGTCTTTAGTCATGCGTGAATTCTATATGGCATATTGCAGCCACACAACGTAGAAATCAACTTACTGCTGTTAGTACTCCATATATTCGTACTACGGTAGCACGTCTTATTCAATATTCTAGTGCTTGCACATATTTACGTGTTTATATGGTCGATCGTACCGTCGAGACTCGATCGAGCCAGAGACAGACGAGTAGAATTATGGGATTAACTTCTAAAGATTATTGAAATATCCAAAAGAATGGCTCTATCGCACCGTAAAGGAGTCAGAACCTTTCTACGATGTAAGTAGTCAAAGGGAATCAACTACAATTTGAAATGTTATTAATAGAATATCTGTTGATGATTGAATTTGAGTGATGGTGGAAAAAAGTTGGGCGTTTGAGCTGAGTCGTGATCGAGTTGTGTTGTGTGTGTGTGCTACAAATGCACTACACAACTAGTGAAGTGCAACTAGCTAGCCCAGACAGATAGACTCTAGATCTAGGCCTATAGACTATCTCATAAGATTGTAACCGTCTGGTAGGTCTAGGGGAATTCTTTTATAAAACTCACATTTGGTGATTTAGAATGCTAAATGTAATTTCGCTAATATCAGGTCTTTCGTATAGCAAATGTGCTAGCATAATATTAGCAATGTGCGAGGAACTGATCATGCTGATCAGCACACTTTTACTAAAATTTGGCATTATTTTGCAACCCCACATAGGGTCTACATGAAATATTGTCTAGAGTAGATAGTAGTGTAGAGAGACAGACAGAGACTGAGAGAGGTCTAGATCTAGACTAGATATAGTAAAGTAGAGGTACTAGGCAAGCAAGGCCAAAAATCGTGTAGTCTAGTGATGTACAGTAGGTGTGATGCGTGGACCAGAAATGTATAACCAGACATTTCTTCGTACTTCAGATAAGGTTTTCAATGTAATGTCTTAAAATTTGGAGTGGACTATTAGGCTATTATTATTATTATTATTATTATTATTACATAAAATTCTACCCATGATCCGTGTGTTGGCGATGCGAAAGACTAATTCCGCGATGGTGCACCTTGATGCATTTCACACTTGCTTTGTACAGAGACTTTCACGTTATGAACGATTAATCCTCGGGAAGACATACAACCCATAAAAGTCGACGGTGAACTGGGGATATTTTATTACGCGGAATCTGTTTTTAGCATTGCCGGCGCGCAGATCGGGAATCCTACATCATACATGATATGTAAGTTACACTGTACACCCGCAGAGCGCCAAAGAAGAAAAACGTTCGCGAAAATGCAGACGATCCTTATTTTTAGGACGCGATTTGTTCACGAGGATATCCTTATTTATGCAGACGATCCTCATTTTTTGACCAGCGTCCCTACTGTTTACTGAGGATCATCAAGACAATGAAACCATTCAAATTATACTATTTGCAAAAAAGCATAGTCTCTAGACTTGATAATGGACACTGTACATGTATTTGTCAATGAACCTCAATCAAATTGTGAGATAAAAGTAAATTATTTTATTTTATACAACACCTACGTGGATCCTTGTCATTTGATTGGAGTATTGTTGGTCACATGATATTCAATAGATGTTATATTGCACGGTCGTGCATTTTTGGTTACATGCAGACTGCGTACCTTTCAGCCGTGCGCGCTCGTATCCCTGCGTGTATCTGACGTGAAGGCAATCTGAATGTAATCGAGAAGGCTTGACCCCAACTTTAATTTATCTTTAATATAAGGAGTAAAGCATAATTTGTTGATTAACGTTCTATTAGATCTTCTTCGATGTTGTATAAAACAAATAATGAGTTGAAAGATTAACGTTAATTCTATTCAACTCGGCTGACGCCTCGTTGAATAGAATGTTAATCTTTCAACTCATGAAAATATTCACACTATTAAACTCGTAACCATTCATTATTTGTATAATATGTACCAGTAGGCGGTACATGACTTTCTCTGTGAAGATAGTCTAGAGCAGCGTTTTTTCAACCAGGGTGCCGCAAGACACCTCTAAAAAATGCGTTTTTAACATATAGTATCTACGGTAAGGTGTCATTTTTTGCTCACTCGCTCGCTCGCATAAATTGTGAACATTCATCCTTTTACATGTACATGTAGGTGTGTACATGTACATTGTGTGTAAGTGGTATATAGTGACGGGGGCGATTATTACTTAACTACTATACTGATAATTACATACATTTAGAAGCTCAAGTAAGGGTAAATCCTACCATAAGCTTGTAGAACTGTATATCTCGAAGACTTGTAGTCACCGACGCATGGAGCTCCACTTGAAGCGTTGATTCGAGATTCAGGGGAACAAGCAGTCGGCTTGATGTAGCTCGCTTGCAGTTCCAGGTCAAATCTGACATATCCAGTATTGGGTATGGCCATGAAAACAATCCGCGGGTGCCGCCGAATGCGGGACTTGCACGCATATGCGTTTATATACGTCAGAGCCCTACTGGCTCGGGCTGAATCACTACATTATTCCCCACGTACATGTAATGAGTTTGAAGCCTACTTCTAACTTAAAATAAACTAAAACTAACTTAAAACTACTCCCGTACCGCAGTGCGGGGTCACGCCGTTTCCCGCTGGTGGATGGGTCAAGGACCCTCCTTGCCAGCACCGGTGAAGTTTTGGCCTTTCCAGGGGGCGGGCGTTATGTAAAGTACATGTATACAGAGACCGAACAATCTCATAGGTAAAAATAGAGCCCAGTAAAATGCACTGTATTCCAAACCCTGCTACAGTAAACATTAAATTCCCAAGTGACCGAGCAATCTCATACCGTATTTGCCGGCGTTAAGGCTGCAGTATTTTTGGAAGAGAAAATATCAAAAAGTCAAGGTGCGGCCTATGCGACGAAAGAGTAAAAAAAAATTTAAAAAGTAAGTCAAAACCATCACGAATTTGCACATATTGGACTAGATCTACGAACAGTACAATAACTATACATTTCCACACATCTTACCGACAATTTTATCTTGCATTGTTGACATGAAGACGAAAATAAACTTCCAAAAACAACATCTGCCGATAGATCTTGAACTAAGTTCGTGCCAATGCATTGCAAAAGTAAAAGAAGGGCCCGTTTAACGGAGCTGCCGCGAAGCATCCAATCACTACAGGTACTTGACGAGTTTCAGACTGATGCACAATTAATATTAGCGTATTTGCCGGCGTAAAGGCTGCATTATTTTTGGAAGAAAAAATATCAAGAAGTCTGGGTATTCTCAAGTCTCAACAATAGACGAGTTGATAAATACAATCAACATTTTAGTCCCTGGGCTCCAGTCTTATAAATTGTTGCGAGTGATTCAAATCAATCTCGACTTGAAATTAATCTCAACTCCTACGTCCTACCTCTTTATTAAAGTTATTAAAGTTACAAAGTTGTGATTAATTTAGGGCAGTGAAAAGTATTAAGATTTATGGATGCTTCTATCCCCAGAACCTACAAGTAGTTACAAACTATTGCATTAACCTGTTTTGCATGTCACGTGTCGAAAGTCAGCATGCAGATTGCATGTTGCAAGGAGGCGTGATGGCTTATAGTGGTAGAGCAGTGATCTCGTAACCAGGAGGTCCTGGGTTCGAAACCAAGCTTACTTACAATGCTTTCTTAGCAATCAGGTAAAACAAACAACAACCAACCAAGATGGTAGTTGTTGCTTTCTCAGGCAAGCATTTAGCTAGACCAAAAGCTTCAGTCTCTCTATATCGTACATGTAGCAGGCCTTAAATTAATCGACGGCCATCGACGGCCAGGCTGTCGATGCCCCTATGACTGGCCGTGGTGCCCTCCCCCAAAAAGATAAATTCACGGCCAAAAAGGCCGTGCCCTGTTTTTCAAACTGGCCGACGTGCCTTTTTTTCCAACTGGACGTGCCCCTTTTTCGAAATTTGCGCTCATAAAACAACCAATTGCGCCCATAATCATCTAAAAGTTAAAACTAGACGGCAAGGCGCAAGTGTTTTCCGTGAAAATGCGCCCATAAATTATTAGAAGAAATCACGAACAGTTTGCTGCCCAATCTCCGTGTAAAATTGTATACACCAAAAATCGGTCGTAAAAAAAAAAGCCATACGAGCCATATTCCATACCTGACCTGGCTTACCATGTCGCACGCAAGTATGCCAAAACACGTACATTTTCGCAGTTGCGAGATCGAGTAGGGGTCGAGTTTTTCGCGGTCGATTTTGTTTTGGTGGATCATATTAGCTGAACCTAGACCACTAATCGCGAAACTGTAATCAATTTCCATCATGATTGCCGCAATTTTATAAAGTTTCCATGAATAGAGGTATGAAATTAAAGCCTATTTTGTGATTATTTTCCAACATCGCCATGTTTACGTAATTTTGATAATTATTTCTTCAAAGTAAAGAAAATCAGACAAAATCACCATGACTGACGCTGCGCTGCAGTTAACTCCAGGAGGCTCCAACACCAGCACTGCAGGCGCACGCCTGTGGTGCCGGTGTTGGAGCTTCCTGGAGTTACGCTGTGCGCTGTGAAGTGTGTGAGTTAAGCTGAGCTAGCTGAGCTCGAATCAAAGAGTTTTGACACTTTGAAATTGCTATCTGTTGGTTTGCATCATTATTGCCGCGATTTCAATATAGTTTCATGAATAAATGTACGAAACCTGAGCTTAGAATTAGTAAAAGTATTACTAATGTCTAAGTTTTTAAACGACTCCTGATTTTCTTGTGAAAATTGTACTTTGAAAAATGATTATCGAAATTCATGGCTAGAAATAATCACAATCTAATGTCTATTATGTCACAGTTCTTGCATCAAATCAATGCATGAAAACTTAGTTATTGAACTAGAAAAAGGGGTTTCTTTTTTGATAGGCAAATTTTATGAAGCAGGAAGCCCGAAACCTTAGCCTACTAAACAAATCTCAACAAACTGTAGACCCCCTAGGTCTATCCTTTTATGAATTAATGAAAAAGTAGCCCCAGAAAAAAGAGCCCCCGAAATGGAAAAAAAGCCCCCGAAAGTTGAAAAAGTAGCCTGAGAAAATTTCCAAAAATTTGAAATGGAGCCCCCGAAATGAAAAACTTATTTTTTTCTCTGGGTTTGTTAACACAACAATCAAAAAGATAATTTCTTCAAATTTGCTCCTACTACCAGCTACCGAAAGTGTGGCGGAAGGTTTGTGTGTGAGGTGCGATTTCGATTTGGGATACCTGGTAAACTTGCCAAGTCCTTCTGACTTTCGATGTTTGTGAAATTTACAATTTATTTATTCATTTGCTCATCAATATTTTTAG